GAGCGCTACAAAGACACATCAAGAACACTTTTGCCACAATCAAATTGGGTTGCCTGGTTATGGCAACCCAATATCAGGAGCAAGATATTCACACAAGACTCAGAACGGCGGCAAAGCAACTTCGAGAAAAAGAGTTTCATTCATCATTTCATCTCATCTTTCGGCGAGCAAACAAATGATCGCCCTACGTAAGACTTCACAAAAAGGAATATCATAAAAGCTTAACTGTATCTTGAGCGACGACAAGAAGATCCGGCGCATCACAAAAGATCCACAGACAAACTCAAGACTAAGCTTAACAAACTAACCACTTTTGCCAATGCCGCTGTTGATGGCATGCGCTCTTCCAAGATAGCGGGTGAATTTGCGCCTAGTCATGCTTATGGGTCTGTAAAAACTCACAAAAATGGCGACCCCTCATCCAATAATTTCACAGATCCCTTCACCAACCTATAGAATTGCGAGACGTCCTAATGGTATGCTGTCCCCATATCTTCCGATGTCCTACAGCTTATCGTTAACGAATGAGCTTATTGATATAGCGCGATCTCGTCAACCTAAGGGTCTACTAGCCTCTCTAGATCTTGAAAATATATTTACAAACACCCGTTGAAAGAACCATATTCATTATCCTTGACCACGTTTACATTCATCCCGAAATTCCTCCTCTCAAAATATAAAAGCCCCTTCTTGAACAAATACTAAAAGCTTGTACGCTGGGAAGTCCTTTCCACGGGCCTGATAGACAAATGTATTGCCAAATTGAGGGTGTTGCGATGGGCTCACCTCTAGGACCTTTGCTCGCCAACTTCTTTATGGGACATGTAGAAGCTGACACACTACAAAATGACGATAAAAGACCGGACATTTACTGTCGCTATGTAGACTATATCTTTGTGACAGTTAGGGATATTGACCGACTAAAACGTCCCAAAAAATCTTTGAAGAGCAGTCTGGTTTAAAATTCACAAATAACCAAGCGTGCAAAGCATAATCCCCTTTCTTAACGTGACTGTTGATGCACAAGGACAGTGATTTAAAACGACTGTATACCGAAAACAGTATGACAACGGACGGTGCTTAAATGCTGACGGTAAGTGTCCTTGACCCTAAAAATTAGCGTCATAGGGTCATTCATTAGACCCGCATTTAAGCACTGCTCTGATTGGACAGGACTACACTCAGAATTGATCAGAATCAGACAGATATTGATGAACAACGTTTTTTCAAATTCTGATGCTGAAGGCGAATACCAAGACACATGACAAAACACTTTGACAGCAAACCAAGACAAGACATCCAATCAACCGTCAAACTATATCATCAAAATCAAATGAAAAAAGGCAAAAATGGCCGCAAAATAGACATTGCCATTTATTATCGTAACAATAAATATCTAACTTTCTTATGAGAAAGAGCCCAGAGAAACGCGAACAACTAAAATGCACCAATGTAATGTATCAATCCAAATGCAACATCGAAGACTGCAAACTTCGTTCCATGCACTACATTGGTGTGACCACGACACTCTCACGTCGCCTGACAATGCACTTACGTGACGGGGCACCTTTGGACCCCATGCGACACGAACATGACGGGACAATGACACAACAACTGACAGACAACACTGGCACTTAACGGACGTGCAGTGACAGAAGACGCCTTCAACTTTGGGAAAGTATATTCCTTAACTAACTCTCGCCAGCCCTAAATAGACAAAGTCTGGTACAACCCTTAAACTGTTAGGTGGTGGGCGGTGAGCACCATTGATGTGATTGTGGCAATAGTGTTCTCATTGTGTCTTCGTAGC